CTTCTGGACATTTCATTTTATAGGAAATTGTTCTCTTTCAGATTTGGAATGAAACAAATTTCAAAATCACAGAATTTACAGTGAAATGGAAATTTCAGTTCCTGCACAGCTCTACTTGGTATTTCTAATGTCAGTAATTTCCATCATGTACTTTTGGTTTGAAAGAGAAAGCCCTGCCACTATAGAAACCAACTGGTCCCATACAAAGCATACTTGTATATACTTGGGGAGGTCTACTTCAATTTTAGAAGAAAAACTGATATTTGTAAATGCAAGTTTAAAAGCTACCATAAAGAAATATCCACCTATTATTAATCACCCTAGTATCACAAACCATTGTAATTAATTAATAGAACAGAACACCTTCTAGGAGAAATTATTGTGCGTTAAGGATTTCTTTTAGCAGAACACTAATATTAATGAACAGAAATAGACAGTGATGCCCGTTGCTATCCTTTGAAAGAAAATATAAAATTTCAGTATATCTCTGGATGCTAAATGCAACAGAATTTGTTCCAGATTATTACCTTCATATGTAATCAAGTCTGTCTGATGGGTATATGAATCTGCATTTTAGAAGTACATGGTTCGGGTTCATCCAATAGCTAGACCTAAATATGGGACTAGATTTAAATTTGGGAAGGGACAGGGAGGGAGTTTGGTTATTCGGGAATTCTTGCTACAGCTTCAAAAAACAGAATACTCCTACTTGAAATTATTTTAATTGAAAGGATACTAACCATGTAAGTAGCAGGTAATAATATAATCTGAAATGTATTTGTGCTAGAGCTAAAAGAATAGCATGCCAAGGGATCATCTTGAAGAGTATTTTTTGGAAATATCTCTTCAAATATGATCCCAGTGTCTGTGATGGGATCCTCAGCTGTCTATGTGTTTATACCAGGGGTAGGCAACCTATGGCACGCGTGCCAAAGGCGGCACGCAAGCTGATTTTCAGTGGCATTCACACTGCCCGGGTCCTGACCACTGGTCCGGAAGGCTCTGTATTTTAATTTAATTTTAAATGAAGCTTCTTAAACATTTTAAAAACCTTATTTACTTTACATACAACAATAGTTTAGTTATATATTATAGACTGATTGAAAGAGACTTCTAAAAACGTTAAAATGTATTACTGGCACGCGAAACCTTAAATTAGAGTGAATAAATGAAGACTCTTCTGAAAGGTTGCCGAACCCTGGTTTATACCATGCACATCAGTATAGAATGTAAGTGTATATGTTACCATAAATTTTGGGAAAGAACACTGTTTTGTATCTGCAGAATGTAAGGTTTAAAGAAGCTATTACAGCACTTAGATCCTAAGATATTTGGGGCAAGCACGGTCTTTTTGTTTTGTTTTTTGTACAGCCCTTGTACGATAGGGTCCTGGTCCTTAACTAGGGCTCCTAGGTGATATAGTAATACACATAAATAAATATAATAACCATCGAGCTGGCCTGTTTCTCGTGGGGGTCCCACCAGGATCAGTTCTTTGCCCTACACTGTATAATATTTTTAACAATGACCTGGAAGAAAACATAAAATCACTACTAAATTGGAGTCGATAAAAAATTTTAGTCGACATAAAAAATTGGGGGAGTAGTAAATAACGGAGTGGACAGATCATTAATATAGAGCGATTTGGATTGCTTAGTAAGCTGAGTGCAAGCAAAATTATATGTTTTAATATGATTAAATGTAAATGTATACATCTAGGAAGAAAGAATGTAGGCCTTACAGAATGGAGGAGGGACTCTATCCTGGGAAGCAGTGACTCTGAAAAAATTGGGGAATTGTGGTAGATAATCACCTGAACACGAGCTCCCAGTGTGACACTATGGCCAAAAGGGCTAATGCAACCCTTGGATGCATAACCAGGGGAATCTTAGGGCTGGTCTACACTGGGGGTGGAGGGATCAATCCAAGATACGCAACTTCAGCTACGTGAATAGCGTAGCTGAAGTCGAAGTATCTTGGATTGAATTACCTGGGGTCCAGATGGCGCGGGATCAATGGCCGCAGCTCCCCCGACGACTGCGCTACTGCCGCTCGCTCTGGTGGAGTTCCGGAGTCGACGGTGAGTGCGTTCGGGGATCGATATATCGTGTCTTAACGATATATCGATCCCAGATAAATCGATTGCTACCCGCCGATACGGCGGGTAGTGAAGATGTACCCTTAGTACACAGAGAGAAGTTATTTTACCTCTGTACTGGGCACTGGTGTGACCACTGCTGAAATACTGTGTCCAGATCTGGTATCCACAATTCAAGAAGGATGCTGATAAATTGGAGAGTTCAGAGAAGAGTCAAGAGACAGCTCCAGGCATGCATTTGAACTGGCATAGGTCGAAGTTAAATGAAGATAAAAGACTGATCAAGCATAAGTGAGGACACCAAAACAGCATTAAGAGAATGCCCAGATGCCCTGGGCTATATAGAAGGTCAGACTAGATGATAACAGTGGTCCCCCTAGCCTTAGAATCTATGAACAAGTATGCCTGTAAAAGCCATGGGAACATTTTGGGTCCTGTGTATGCAAGAGCCAGGCCTTTTTCAGTACACAAAGGGATGACAGCTACCTGGACAGACATCCATTAACTGCAGTATGGAGGAAAGCATTAGCTTGTGTGGGGCACAGTCCAGAAAATGGTATGTCAACATCTGGAGTTCTAGAAGGTTTTGATTCCCAAAGGGGCCCTGGGTGGGGCTTGACATTGGAAAGTTATGGCCTATGCCCGTAGTACAATGGAAACTAATGGGACAGTTGGAAAATATGAGCGAAACCTTTCCTACGAGTAATTTTCAGGAGACATCAGAAATAAGGTGGATGTCTGGATTTACAGGCAATTTAATGGGGCATTGAGCCCACAAGATGGCGAGAGAACAGGAAGCAGGTCACAGAATGGTATGGGACCTGCTCATGCCACTTCTACACTCCCTGATGGGAAAATTACATTAATCTAATATCTCAAATATTCATTTAAAGGAGAATGATTTTAGGATTTTCAGGTGAATTTGAGTCAGGATTTAGCAGGAATGTAGGCTGAATTACCTAGTTGCATCTGGGCACAAAGGTAATTGGATGTCAAATGCATGCAATACATATATGACGGAAAGCTGTCACCTCTGCTTGTGTGGATTGAGCCCAGAGGACTGTGAACCAAAAGGTCAGATTCTTTTTGGACATTGGTGGCACAGTGATCACAGCCAGGAAACCAGGAACAACGTTCCTGAACTTTACAGGGAAGACAAGTGAGTTCTTCAGATATGGGACTGTTAGGTTGTTGTAAGAACTTACAGACTGGATTGATGGGAGGCAGATACCAAGCTCTGGGCTCAGGCTTACAGCCAAGTTATTCAGTGGCATCCCTTGTGGCCAGTGCAGGTGAGACATTCCAAGGGTCCTGCTCTCAGATGTAAACATGAGATATGGTTGGATTCTATTAGTCTTCAGAAAAAGGGAAAACCTTAAGTATCCTTCATGTGTATCCTCATTCCCCTTCACAGGGACAGGGCAAGAGGGTGAATCCCCAGGGTTAGGCTGAAGAGGGGCAAGCCTGAATACTGGTTATTTGACATGTTATCCATTTCACACTGCACTGATCCCAAATAAATGCCTGGTATTTGGGGGTTCTCCCATTAAAGTTAACAGTTAATGAAGTTGCAAAACTTCTACTTTTAAATCTACCTCTGTATCTATGTTCATTCTCCTATGTGTTCTGATCAACACAGGCTTTGTAGAAACAAACAAAACCAATTGTTAAAAAACATAATGGGCCTTATTCTCTACAACACTGTACCAATGCAACGTGAGCACAAAGCACTACTGCCACTCTTGTGAGTGGAGTGATTTGATATTTCATATTCACATGTATTACTTTGCACAAGTGTAAATACCTGCCGTGTGCAAAGGCAGGAGAGAAACAGGTCTAATGTTAACTGAAATGTTTCATAAATTGTTTTGGTAATATTTAAATGAAAAAAATCTTACTTTGATTTAAACAGTCCCCTGGAGTGTTTGCAATTAAAATACTATACAGTATCACTATGCTGGAACATCAAAGCTGGAAAGTGAAACTAACTAAAAATGACAGTAAAAGCGATTAGTCTATTTTCAAAGCCTATTCTGAGTGAAGTGCAAAAACTAAACAAGCAATATAGTGTTGAAGAGTACAATAAAGTAAATGTTATAAATTCTGTCAAGTTTTAATAATCTAAGATTGTTTTGAACATAATTGAAGATAAAAATATTAATCAGTGTTCTTAGAACCATGCAAGTATTTTTAATATCATTTGTATGCAAAGCACAACAAACAGAAATTAAATGTTGTCAATGACAAAAAAGAAACAACGTAATTTTTCTTTATCTTAGATAGAAAAGTTAAAATGTGAGAATAATTCTTCAATCTAGAATTTAGGGAATTTTACAGTATCTGATCTCTTGTAAGAGTTTTGTAGCTAAAGCAACTGTATTTTCTAAACGTCTGCTTCAGTAGGCCCTGATTTTGCAATTAACTCTACACAGGCTCAGGGGGTCCGTCTGCTTGGTGCCAAATACAGCATCAGTGCTCCAGTCAAATTTCATATAGAAGATGCCATTATGGAATATTTGTTGCCTTCCAATTTATAAAGTGATAAAAGATTTAGCATGTTCATTGCTTTGCAGAACAGAGGTCAGGAAAATGGAACGGGAAACACTTAACAAATTAAACATACATGTAAAATTAACACTGCAGAATCAAATTAATAACTGTATACTTATCCTAAAGGAAGTCATTTAGGAACGTCAGGACCAGATCCTACAGTCCTAACACAGAAAAATAGCAATGGACGTCAATAGGCGGTGTTACTTGCATATTGCCAAGAAGATTGTGCCCTTATATGCTGAAAATTTAATAAAATTGTGCTAAAGTATTTAAAAGATGTCAGTAACTAACCAGATTTAAGTGATGCCGTTTTACTTCTGTTAAACAAAACAGTTCTAATAGTACCCACCTTCATCTCTTCCAAATTTTTCTGTCTAGTCCATAGTAATTCTCCATATGTTTTTTCCTCATGCTGTATTCTCTTCTCATATTTTTCTAATTCATTCTGGAGGTAATCAATTATCATCTGATTTTTCTCCTGCTTACAGCTAACAGCACTAAAATTTTCCCTTTAAAAGAAAAAAGTTCTTAATTAAAATTAAAATACTATAAATATTAAAATTAAAATATTATAAACTGATTTTTTAGTCTTACCTTATATAGTTTAATATTTAATTTTACTGTAGACAAAAAGACAAATCTCACATATGTTAAGATCCATTTGAAAAACCATATAGAACCATGTGATAGATATAACTTATGTTCTTTAGAATAACCTCACATGTACTCTGCCCACTAGTCCATCTCCATCAGACTACTAACATTTAAAACTCTCAGTAACTTCAAAAAAAGCTTCTACTTTAAAAATATCAGCTGTCCTGGGAAACGATCACATATGAAGTTTTCCTCTAAAATTATACTGGGGGTGTGAGATGCAGAACAGTCAGTAATAAGCCCAGAACCAATATCTGATGACTCATCAGGGATAGAAATGAGAGCTTTTAACCACTGAAAAAAGCTTTCCAGTGGGATACAGTATTAGTTTCTAGACCTGGTCAGTCCTTGGACATTTCTTCTTAAAATTGCGCCTTTTTGATTAATATAAAAGGTATGTTAGGCCATTTTTAGAGGTTTCTAAAATGTATTTGTTATAATTTTCCTTTTCCTCAGAGGTCTGTACATGAATACTCATGTTATTAATGGAGCCACATTTTCACACAAAAGGATATGAAAAATAAAATATAGCAAATTAGGGGTCCTATAGATAACATAGCATTTGATCATGTAATTAAAGACTGTCATAATGCATATACACAAGGGGACAAATAAAGGTTGCACAGGAAACCTTAAGTCTGGCATTTCCTAACTTTTTAGTGCTTTACTTTGTAACCTAAATGTTGTTTTAAAATTGCTTTTTTGGGGGAGGTGGGGTAATGCAATTTCCTTCATTTTTTTTTAAAAAAAGTCAAACAAACACTCAAAAATTCTTTCATGTATAATCAGGGTGATCTCACATGTGTCATCAGCAGTACTGGAAACTTTAGATCCACTGTACAGACCTCTCCCACTTACTAACAGCATATCTGGTAGCAGTAGTTGAACTAGCCACTAGCGAGGAATGAGACACATACTTTGCCAGTGGGATTTACAGCTATCTGCTGAAAGCATAGGAGTGCTGAGATTCAGGAATCCTGGGTTCAATTCCAAATTTTGGAGGAAAGTATGTTCTATTGGTTACAGACCCTTCTGCCTTGTTTCCCCCAGCTTGCCCCTGTCACTAGCATGTGCCCCTTAATCTGTCCCTTTGCTCCCATTTCCTTCTCCTTATGTTCCAGGCACATTATGTAGGCTGTTAGGTACAGGGAAGGAAAAGGTTCCAGCATGATTAAGTATGCACACTTCCAGTTCCCTTAGGACTCCAGGTGTTGGCTATCTCCCACTAATCCAATCAAACTTGCCCCTCTCAACCCCCAATGAGACAAGAGGAGCGTGGTGCAGTTGGCAATGTGGTAGGTTCTTGCTTAGAATTGCTAGTCCTATGCATTTTCTATAGGGTTTTTGTTTTTCCCAGGGAGAGTGAAAGGCAGTAAGGTTTTTCAAAATGGTTCACCATTTTTATTGGGTTGCCTTGATGGGCTTTAGGGTGGGACTGTGTTTTCCTTAATTAGTGTGCTAGCATAGGGATTTGTGGTAGTCTTTTCAGTTACACAGTTGCTGCTACTCTGGAAATTTTTTAATTTTATAGTACTGTTGTTTTATTACTATATAGGTCAAATTTTCTATTTTATTCTTGTAGTTTATGTTTAGGCTTTTGCTATTTTTTGTTGTTGCAGTTAAACAGTAATAAGTGGGAAAGGAGATCAGATAGAAGTGTGAGAGAGTAAGCTAGAAAGTAAGCAATAGCCATGAGTGATGTCAGCAGCAGGAACCCCATGTCCCCAGTTTCTCCACCAAGCCAGGCAGGAATCAGCACCTGGAATCAAGGGCTGTTGCCTCCAGCTGCTTCCCTAAAGTGTGCACGGTTTCTTCACAGAAACAGTAACTCCCATATCATAGGTCTGCTGATGAACAGGCTAAAAATCTATTGAGGTATTTGAATAATCTTTCGTCACTTGGTCTAAGAGACTGAATCAGACTCAAACAGGAAAGTTTCTTACATGCTACTTGCCTTAATTTTTTCAATATCTACACTAATCCTCACAGATGAGTTGATCTCTCTCCTCATAGATGGGGTCAGTTCAAGCAGTTTGAAGAGGATGCTGGGAACCTTAAGTTAACCCATCTTGCAAACTACTAGAAGAGTTCTTCTAAAGTTGTATAACAATCACTTAAACCAATCACCATTCCACCCAAAAGTAAAAAATGTAATCCAAATAGATAAGCATGTTTAACATTTAACCAGCTATGCCACTCAGAAAATAATAGGAACTGGCTCCAGGGAAACCCTTCTTTAAGATATGTACATAAAATGCCAACTGCTGGGACAGACTATTAGAGACATTAATAGAATAAAATAAATTAACAGGTAAGAAAGATTCCTTTTTTCTGCATAGTCACCACTAATGGGAAATAACAATCAGCAAGTATTAGCAAGCAATGAGAAAGAACCTTTTCCTTCTCTTTCTCCACCCACCCCCCTCTTTTTTTTTCCCCACAGGCTGTATGCTCCAATGATCATAGAGGCCATAGGTGCACTATCCTAGTTTTCCAGCAATTCACATGGGGGAGGAATTCCACTTGTGCTGTATGGTCTCTGTGCAGAGGAGAATGGTAAAAATTAGATGGGGAACAAGCAACTTCAATCATTTGGATCCAAGTCTTGGAAGCGGAGTGGCTTCAGATCTTTAAGAGTGAGATGGGATACCTGAGAAGCAGAGGCTCAAGAAATATTCAAAGTATTCTTTACAGAATTTCAAAATCAATGGTCCTTTTAAAGAGTAGGAATTGGAAAAAAGTTTGAGAAAACCCTCAGCAGAAGGAGTACTGAACTCAGTAACTATTCAGAACCAAAGGGTTACTGGAAGTGACAAAACAAACACTACAACCTTTCACTACCAACTTCAATTGCTCTTAAAGATTCTTGGCCAGACCCAAGGAATAGAGTTTGGGATACAGCATCCCATTGCATGAAACTGATCAAATGGATGTCAGTATCAATTGCTGGATGTGAGATGCTGAGCACTGATCCTCTCTATTTTTGGAATCCACTGGACTGGAGGTCTGAGCACTAGGTTCAGCTGAATCATTCTGCTTGAATCAAAGTTTGGAAGAAGCCAATCCCAGGCAGTTGGGAATGTGTAGCACCTGCAGATGGAAGTGAATGTGACGCAGGAAGGGAGTTATAGTGTGTGGAGGCAAGTAACTCTTTTTTCATGTCTTCCCCATCCTGTAAGTAACTTTGCAATTGAACAGCACACAGCTATTTTCTCTTTGACATTGCACAGCAGGCTCACCTTTATCCTGGAGAAGAGTAAGCCTGCTGTGTAATCATCATATATGGCCCTCCAAGGCTTGCGTGGCCTAGAAGGCTACAAGTATTTTCAGCTGGATAGGGCCCTTGGAGACTATTTTCAGGACTCATCAGTCACAGTGAGTGTAGGTCCACATTTCTTGAAACAGAGAAAAACCAGAACAAAAGAAATCCTCCATTAATTAAAGATGCAACTGACCATGGATTTTATTAGATTTTGGAAAATAGACCTGATGCCTGAAATACCATTTACCAGGCAGACAATTTATCTTGAATGTCCTCTACAAATGCACAAAACCCACAAAGTATAATCAAACAAAAATACTTTCAAATTATTGATAAAAACTGCATTATATTTACTATAAATAATACTGTACAGATAACATAAAAGCTACCTTTTAAAAAACTTTGATAGGAATGGAAATTCTTACCTCAATTCCATGAGGGATTTCTCTGTAGTTTCAATTTGTCTTTGCTTTGTCTCTGCTAATTCATTTAATTCATGAATTCTGTTTTGAAAATTTTCAATAATGTGAGTGGTTTCATCTAGTCGACTGGTAACATCTGAATATTTTTCCTGGAAACAAAGAAGAAAACGTGTGAGTGTATATATACATACATATATACAGTGTGTAAAGTAGGGAGGGCTAGATTTCTAGATATTGTATTTTAAGTGCACAATTATGGGCAACGATGCATGAAACTGCATACCCGAAGACACAGAACTGTTTTCAGAAGTGCTGTTGAAGCACTTAGTGCAATTGAAATAATTTTGTTTCTTTAAGGGCACAGTTTTACACATTAAGTTATTGTTCCTCAACTTGTTGCACAACCTTGCTATTAATGTTTATACCCTCACAACTGCATATTGAATACCTTCTTCATTAACAGACACATCCCTTCTTAATCTGTACACTCATATACACAATAAACCGCTTCAAATAATTCTGTTGTCCTCTTCAAACAAACAGTGGCTTGCATACACAAAAACATCAATAGCAGGTGAAAGATAAACAAAACTTTTCACACATGGCCCAATTCTGTGCCCATTGATTTCAATGGATGCAGGATCAGGATCCTAGGTAGCAACTTTCACCTTGGGTTATCAAAATACTAACAAATGTTAATGGAGTCTTGCAACATCTCCATGAAGTTTGGTAGAAAATATTCTCCCAATTTTACACATTAGGAAACGAAGGCACAAAAAGTTAAAACCAAAATGCGTGTGCCTTAAAATAGGCAACTAATCCACACTTAGGCAAGTATCGAAGAGACCTGATTTTCAGGGGTACTGAGCAGTTGTAGCTTCTACTGGCTTCAGTGGGAGCTGTATGTGCTCAGCACTTTTGGATATCAGTGTGACATTTCATATGATTTTATAAATATATGCTAATGAGTGAATATAATGTAACTGGAATATGCTTCATGCAAAAGGTCTCTTGTAAGGTATCATTACAAAGCTTATAATCTACTGAGTGTGGTCATCCTATTTGTATAAATGTATCACTCTTGTATCTAAAACTAGACATATAAAATATAACACTGAGGGCCTATTGTAATTATGCAAAGTGCGGGCCATTAATGGTGGTTTGGAATCTTGATGGCGTCCATCAACCAGTTCAATTGACTGTGGATGGCTCTGTTTGCAGGCAAGCCTTCCTGTGAGTCAGGCTCGGAGGAAAGAAGGCTTGAAGTCTTACAGTGACATGTGATCATGTCACCTGAATTGGAATCCATCTTTAACCTGGTGTCTTTCCATTGAGAAGGAGGGGGTGGGAACCCAGAGAGGGACAAAGGATTTCCGCCTTATGCAAAAGATATATAAATGGGCGGAACAGAACAAAGGGGAGAGCCATCATGAGGAATCCCCTAGCTACTACCTGAGCTGGAACCAGGACCGGCTCCAGGGTTTTTGCTGCCCCAAGCGGCAGGGGAAAAAAAAAAGCCGCGATCGCAATCACGATCGCACCGTGCCACTTTCTTCTTCGGTGGGAATTCGGCGGCAGTTGCTTCCCTCCGAGAGGGAACCGCCACCGAATTGCCGCCGAACAGCCCGACGTGCCGCCCCTTCCCCTTGGCCGCCCCAAGCACCTGCTTGCTGGGCTGGTGCTCTGGAGCTGGCCCTGGCTGGCACAAGAGTTGTACCAGGGGAAAGAATTGTGCCCAGGCCTGGAAGGTGTCCAGTCTGAGGAAAAAACTTACTGAAGCATCTCTAAGGGTGAGATTATCTGTATTCAGTTTGATTAGACACAGATTTGCCTGTTTTATTTTATTTTGCTTGGTGACTTACTTTGTTCTGTCTGTTATTACTTGGAACCACTTAAATCCTACTTTCTATATTTAATAAAATACCTTTTTACTTATTAATTAACCCAGAGTATGTATTAATACCTGGGGGAGGCAAACAGCTGTGCATATTTCTCTATCAGTGTTATAGAGGGCGAACAATTTATGAGTTTACTCTGTATAAGCTTTATACAGGGTAAAACGGATTTATTTGGGTTTAGACCCCATTGGGAGTTGAGCATCTGAGTGTTAAAAACAAGAGCACTTCTGTAAGCTGCTTTCAGTTAAGTCTGCAGCTTCGGGGCAAATAATTCAGACCTGGTCTTTGTTGGAGCAGATGGGCGTGTCTGGCTCAGCAAGACAGGGTGCTGGAGTCCCAAGCTGGCAGGAAAGCAGGGGCAGAAGTAGTCTTGGCACATCAGGTGGCAGCTCCCAAGGGGGGGTTCTGTGATCCAACCCATCACAATCAGTATATTTATTTAATTGTGTAAAGATACAGGTGCCTTTAAACATAGGTCAAAACTTTCAAACAAGAACTGTTTCTAAGTTACTTGTTCCATATTACAGGCAGTGGGACAACTGAGAGTAAAAAATAAAAATCCTGAACTGCAAACCTCTTTTCTAATCCATAGATACATTGCCTCTCAAATGCATACTGAGACCAAATTGTTTAACTTAAAATAGGAACAACAGTTTTCACAAAATACTTGTAATTCACCATAGATATTAAAGTATGTATAGATTTTCAGATCTCCATTGTATCCACGCACTATGGCAAGGACTATCTTAGTTACATAACTGGTGAAGAATCAGGTGAAATGCAATGGCCCCTTCTCATTTCACAGGTGACAATCAGATGGATGAAGAAAATTAAAAAAGGTTCATGACGCAAGCAAACAATACTGCTAATACCCACAGTATAACCAGGATTGCAACTTCCCCAGAACCAATGCACCAAAAGAAGAGAGCTATAGAATAACAATAAGCAGGTGGGAGGCTGGAGCTACTTTAACAGAAACCCATTTTACATGTAGGGAAAAATTACAAAGAGTAGCTCTAGTAATCCATACTAATGGACTCTAAATAGCAATGTAAATGAGCTGAATTAAGGAGGAGGAAACATACCTCTTGATTACACGCACACACACACACGCACACACGCACACAATTACAGCCCTTATAAAGCACCAGAGAAAAGTGCACCAGTCAACACATTAATACCCAAACTATAGGGTTTAGCAAAGGAGCGCATGCACTTACGAGTAATCTGCTTCACAAATCTCTTTTTCAGATGCTTCCCCATTTCTGTCCAGATGACAGCCTGACACTTGGTCTGATGGACTTTTACTCTTAGAGGAAAAAGATCGCCTCCCTCCCTCCCCCCAATCTTGGATATATACCTCAAAGGTAACTGAAAGAATCCATCCAGAAATCAAATCTTCATAAGGTACTTTGCCTCTAAGGGTACATCTACACTTTGACCTGGAGGGATATTTTCAACTCAGGTAGACGCACAAACATGTGATTGAGCTAGAATGCGAAAAACAAAAGTGTAGCTGTGGCAGAGTGGGAGGCGGGACAGGCAAGCTGCCCAACTAAGTACGTAGGGTCCTGGGTGGGATTGTACTCAAGGTAACTAGCCCATCCCACAGCCTCTACTGCACTTCTAGTTTTAGAGTGCTAGCTCAATCAAAGCTAGTGTGCATATGTCTACCCAAGCAGAAATTACACCTCCAGCTCAAAGTGTAGATGTACACGGAGAGATGCTCCAGAACAGATATGGAGACAATCAGGTGATCTTGTCAAACAAACCTGTCATTCTTTTATGGCAGGGGTCGGCAATCTTCGGCATGCGGCCCATGAGGGTAATCTGCTGGCGGGCCGTGAGACAGCTTGTTTGTGTTGACCATCCACAGGCACGGCACCCTGCAGCTCCTAGTGGCTGCGGTTCACTGTTCCCGGACAATGGGAGCTGCAGAAAGTGGTGTGGGCCAGAGGGACGTGCTGGCCGCTGCTTCCGGCAGCTCCCATTGGCCAGGCATGGCGAATCGCAGCCAATGGGAGCTGCGGGGAGCCATGCCTGCGGACGGTCAATGTAAAAAAAATGTCTCACGGCCCACCAGCAGATTACCCTGATGGGCCGCATGCTGAAGGTTGCCGACCCCTGTTTTATGAGATTATAAATTTGGTTGATAAAGGTAACTACATAGATCTAGTATACATAGACTTTTGTAAGGCATTTGATACAGTATTGCATGACATTCTGATTAAAAAAATAGCACTATGCAATATCAACAAAACACATGCCAAACGGAGTAAAACCTGGTTAACTGACATCTCAAAAAGTAATTGTTAATGGGGAACCATCATGCAATGGGAGTGTTTTTAGTAGAGTTCTACAAGGATCAGCCAACACTATTCAAAATTTTCATCTATGATCTAGAAGCAAATATAAAATCACTGCTGATTTTAGGGGATACTGTCTATATTTGTTAAACTTCCTTTCTTCATTAATTTCTATACCAATCCAGTTGCTTGGGTATAGTTCTTCCCTGCTAGCTAATTGAGAAAAAATAACTAAGTTTTTGACACATTATCCTTCTCTCCCCAGTACACACTGAAAGGGCTTACCAGCTGAGAACTCAGCTGAGACTTGGAAAGCAGTTCCGGTAAAAAGAATGACTTTGAACAATTGTAAAACCAAGATGAAACTTTATAAGAAGATATTGTATTAATTTTTCCAAGGTGGGGGCCTGGACTGGTATCTCAAAGAAAATAAATGTTCTTACTTTTCTTCTTCAACCAGTCTAATTGCTTGGGACCTCCTTTAGCAATAAAAAAATCCTACAGGAGGAAGGGATGAATGTCTTAACAGCTGCCAGCTGCATCTTTCTGACAAAGGCTGCATCCAATTATGTTTGTACAACAAATGGAGAGTTCTTGGTGAATGTGAGAGTTGATGTCTAGGTGGCCGCCTTGTAGATTTCCATCAGACACTCCAATCTCTCTTCCCACAAAGACTCCACCCATATGGAAAAGTAGGCTAGAAATACATGCTTTCTTCTCAATCCATTTTGAAACTATTTGGAAGCTGCCTGAACTTTCCTAAATTAGGACATGGATGCAATATGAATAACACTCTAAATCTCTCAGTTCTTAGCAAAGATAAATTCAGACAGCTGTTAATGTCCAGGCAATGTAGCTGACCCTACTTGGAATTTTGTGGATTAGGACAAAAGAGTGGGAAAGGCTACTTCCTGGTTCAAATGACATACAGGAAAACCTTTCAGG